GAACATTCTGCTAAAATAGCACAGCAACCGTTGCTGAGATATTTTTATCTTGACATTGTGGGTTATTTCCTAAGCGAGTAGACAACTGTACGTATGTTCAATGCGGTTACTACTACTAAGATTTAAACCTAAATTGTGGGCATGGTAACCAGAAATGAAGAACCAGGAAATACGATTTAAAGATCCGAGACGAAAGCAGGCGGATTGGGCGTGGTAATTGTTATTTCTCCCAATGGGAGAAAATCGATGATACGACACTGAAGCTTTAAACAAATATCACTAGAAGACAACCTTTCCGATGCTACTAAACTGCAAAATATATTACACTCTTAGGATTAGATTTGCAGATAATCTTATCGATACTAAAGCTGCATGTGTTCTGTATTATCATGTCTTGACTACTCGAAAATACAGAAAGGACAGTTTCCTTCAACGGTTTTAATGGCTATGGCACAATACACAAATCATCTGTTTTGGCCCAGACTGATGCCTGTTTCAAGTACAGAGAACAAAAGCAGACAACATGGCATGAATGTGATAAAAAACAAAAACGTTTATTTGTAACGTGGGAACGTTGTGCAATGAATTTCTGGTGTACCCTCCTCCAGTCGTCGTATCCGTTGCACAGGGAACTGTCGCCATTCTTGGTGCAAAGCTGCTTCGAACGCTCGCAAAGTTTGAACAGGTGTTACGCGTACTTGAATCCGTCGCCCGATAAAGTCCCAAATGTGCCTCGGAGGGATCAGGTCTGGACTAATGGCGGGCCACGGAAGGTGAGTCACTGCATTATTCTGAATGAAAGTTGTCACTGCACGAGGACGGTGTGGCCTAGCATTGCCATCCATAAATACAGGTCTTGTAGCAAGAGTGAGTGAGTGAGTATGGTTTTTCGCCGCTTTTAGCAATATTCCAGCAATATCACGGCGGGGGACACCAGAAATGGGCTTCACACATTGTACCCATGTGGGGAATCGAACCCGGGTCTTCGGCGTGACGAGCGAACGCTTTAACCACTAGGCTACCCCACCGCCCCTCTTGTAGCAAGAGGATGAATTTCAAGATGGGACAACAACTGGATGCAGCACTTCCTGCATGTTACGATCACCCTTCAAATTCCGAAGTATTGTCACCATGTCAAGTCTACAGTCATGAGAGACACGTCCCCACACCATGACAACCAAAGGCAACAGTTGGTTGAATGTGTTTGGCTGCAAATGCTGTATTGCTGCAACGTCCATCAGTTACATGAAACAGGAGCCGGCTTTCATCAGATCAATGAATTCTTAGCCAAGTCCGCTTGTTGGTGATGATCGCTCAGTACCGGACGCTCAGAAGAGGACGCTCAGGAGAGGACGTCTGATGACCATTTTAGAGCTGTACCCGACTCTCATTATGCGATTCCGGACTGTATCCCTTGATGCTCGTGACGAATGGCTGTCGTCTTCACGATATGACGCCACCCTGGGTCGCCCAGAAACGTGGGCGATCCTTCAGCTCATTGGTTTCCCTGTATTTTTTGACAACTGTGCAGTGGGCATTCATCTGATGACCAATTGCTTTAAAGGACATACCGGAGTTATGCATACTAATATTTTGCTATCTCTGGCCATGTGATAATCTTCTTCGTAAGACAGCGGCAGAAAAATGATTGAACAATGTAATCCATGCAGATTAAATACCGACTCGTGGAATGTGCACAAACCGCACTTGTGAATATTCCTGGGTTTGCTTCTGGACATGCTTCACACTGTGTGTTTGGGAGACACTTTCAACCAAGTAGACTAGCAATAATTTCTTAAAAGAACACCATTATCATCATTATCGTATCTTTATCGTATCAATTATTTCGTGAGTACGTGTATTTCGATACACATTCTTGTACCCGTTGTCAAGCACATTCCTGCTAAAGAAGTTGTTATCCATACAGTTTGTCTATATTGTACTTCACAGCTTCTAAAATGCCACTCGAAGAAGTAATATGTATCATACGCAAGCTGAACTATAACATAGTTCTGTTAGCGGTCAGCATATTTAGGGTGATTAACCTTTTTTCAGGTGTATAAATTAAAAGAATTTCAATCAGAATAGAAAAAGCATTCTAAACAAGTGATAACATTTTAGACCTGTGTATTTTAGACTTATCATAATGATAAAATCATGAAAATAAACCAAACCAAAACTATACTGTGTCTTCAGCGACCTCACTAAACATTGGATGCTGCACGGAGAACTGGTCTGTTGCACAAAGTGACCGAATATGATAGTATTTGAAAATAAGTTTTTGTTCAGCAATGTACAACGTCAAATCTCCTTCATGCTTAGCTGTCGCATATCATCCTATTTCCACTGTGACACTGGAGCAAGACAAGGAGCAAGACAAGGTGAAAATCTGCCCCCATTACTATTTTCCCATTTAATTAATTATCTCGAGTTCTAACCAAACAAGTATGTGCAGGTGTAAATGTAGAGTATACATAAAAGCGACAAAACGTAAGGAAGACGATGACGAAATTGTGGTATGCTGATGTGCTCAATAATGACCCACTGGAGACACAAAAATCACTCGATGCAATTCATGAATATTTCATACTATAATTGGGATTACAAAGTACAGATTCAAGTACTTTTTGGGGTCTAGTCACACCTGTGATTCGAGGCGGTAGCACACAAAGTCAGCGATATAATCTACTCAGCCACCGAAGCTTCAGCAAAATCAAAGTCTGATAACCGGTAGTGTAGATGAAATACCTTGTGGACAAGTCCCAGTTTCAAAATGTCGAGCAGAATGTATTTTGAGCTAAAGTGTAAAATTAATACGTACCTGGGACGATGAGTTGTCCCATGTTTCTCAGGAAATTTACACTTTACTCTCAGTACTCAGCACTTTACTCTCAGTTCTCAGCACTTTACTCTCAGTACTCAGCACTTTACTCTCAGTACTCAGCACTTTACTCTCAGTACTCAGCACTTTACTCTCAGTACTCAGCACTTTACTCTCAGTACTCAGCACTTTACTCTCAGTACTCAGCACTTTACTCTCAGTACTCAGCACTTTACTCTCAGAAAATGTCAAAATGTCACACGACATGTACGTCAACAGAAATACCATCCACTCATAAAACAGCTGGTGAGAATTGGCCTTCAGCAACCCATGCTTGTCGGAAGATGCTACTAATGGGATCAGTTGACGAGGTCAATGCATGTCATCGTATCCTAATTACGAAGATATATGCTCATGATGTCAATCACTTGATTAACTCCCGTCATGCAGCTGGAATGTTGCGGCTTTAAAAAACAATCAAACACACAAACACAAACAAAAATCACATGACTTTACCAATTCTTCAGTTTGTATGACAGCATTGTCCTTTGCGTAATGGGGAATACATATATACATTTCCCTACTTTTAACTTTTTAAAACTGTGCGAATAATGACTGGAGATTCTCCCTCGCCATTGTTCTTGGCTTAATGTCCACCTTGTTGTGCGTGTATTTATCAGATCCATGTTTGATTTGTTTAATATATGAACAGCAGACGGCTGATCCAACAGATTACCCGTGTTTCCCATCAAACAACATTCACGCTTTATCTTGCCAGACCTAAAATCAGGTATACAAAGGCATATCGACACGACGCTACCACGAGGAACTAATGTATTCATCGTGTATTCAAGTGAGCTATGTTACCCAAGAACATACAGTAAATGCTAACAGAATTGGTAAATTTTATTAACAAATGTGTACATGTGATCGGATATCAAATAAAAACATCACATTCGAGCAACAAACTTGGAATTGCGTCTCGTGAGCGGGAATACGTTGTATGATGACAGCCTTTTTCATTGCGAAGCTTTTTTTTGACTATGATGTTCAGAAGTCGAAATAATATAGAACCCCTGAGAATTAATATTATCTTAAAGGTCACATGCAACCAAAAAATCAAACATAATTAAAACACAATTATCACTTCTTCATGACATATAATATGCATTGCTGATTATGAAAAAACAAATAAACAAAATTATAAGCGTATAATCGCAAATCAAAAGTGCAATATTTTGTACTTGGGTTTACCTCCCTCGAAACGAAGCAGCCGGGATACCGAACCCAGTCAGAGCGGGTGGGTGTGCACTCAAGTGTAACGGCTGGTTCATTAGCAGATGCCGCCTTCACGGCTGATTGTGTGTGTATATATAGAGATGTTGGGTTTTGTAAATACATGCTCATTTTTTTGTGTATAACATTTTGCAATCAACAGACATCATAACATGTCATGTGTTCAAGTATCACACCTGCCTGTCTGTGTAATTACATAATGTGACAGAGACCGAACTCGGGCCATAAATCAATGCGTTTTGTTTATGGTGTATAGCCTGACTGGTGTTAAGTTCAAATTGCATGTGGTCAGTGATCGCAGTTGTGTATTGAATATTGTCATTAGCAGACAGGCAGGCAGACACACAGGTGTCAATAAAACAAGACATTGAGTTTTGTCTGTGACAGCGACATATCTATATCACAGTTAGAAATTGTGTCAACGCTAAATAATGACATTGCTTTTAAGTATCGAACTGAGAAAGTGACTCGGTAAGAAGAACGTGTGGTGAAATAGACAAATGAAATTATATAAACAGTTTATTTACTGTCATAACATATAAAAAAGCTCGCGCCTGTGAGATATCAACAAAACATTATGAAAATAGCTCACACCAAAGCCTTCACCGAGTATTCACCAGACAGCCCGCTTCCAAGTTGCGCGTACCTATTTCACTGCGCACATGCTATGAGCGCAGCCCAGCTGTTGAAACCCGTATTCCCCAGAAAAGTCTGGGGAAAATTAGTGAAACGTTTGAACTCCGATTTCGCGCGTTTTTTTTCATCGCGTTATTTTTCAACTTTATAAGTTGAATTTGCATTTTTGACGCTTTGTTTCGGTAAGTCCATACCGAAAGGTATCAGAATCTGCAAAGTTGTGTTTTACGTTGCATGTGACCTTTAACAAATTAATGTTTGTACTGTTTAACATATGAAAGAAGTTCAATTACATTTAAGACGGCAATTACTGACTGTTACAATAAGCCTTACATATGATTATAACTACAGAATTATAGTAGTTTATGGACTGAAGTAGTTTGTGTATTCCTCTACCATTATATAACCCTGGTATGGATCGCCTTCAGCTTGTCGCAGAATGACAGTAGTAAATCACGAATGTGAAACAGCAGTACGTCAATAGGTCCATATGAAGTATCGCTTTGTTCCTTGTGCTCATGCGTTTCATGCCAGAGGTTTCCCCCCAGGATGCAGTCTTCTGGGAAGAGTCATTTTTTATAGAGTGAGCGTCATGGCAATTAAGTATAACTTTGGTTCTGATAAGCTGGATTTTCTAGGCCTCTTGTACGATGTTGTAGCTCGTATACTTCTCTTTCTTCATTTCGTGAACGGCGTTTCCTGAAGCAGAATGATACATTCAATGAGATATAGGCTTGATCCTTTGTTGTTTAGACCACTTTCAACAACATTCCAGGTGTACGATAGCAAAATCATCAATTGCTTGACATAAAGACCGTCCATCCACCCCATTAAGACCGTCCATCCACCCCATTAAGACTGTCCATCCACCCCATTGGAATACGAAGACATGCAATCAACCGAGTCGATTAACCTCACCAACCCATCCCTATACTCGCCTCTTACGACTGGAAAAGAGTTCTTGGGTCCTATATTCTAACCCAGAATCTCCGCGGAGTAACACTCTTATAGGCGCTTACTCATTCCTAACATGCATGGCCATCATTTGGTCCCTCTGTGATATCGTTTGTATAACATTCAGTGTTTCTACAATGGATATTATATCGTAAAGAACCAGTTGACAATTGTTTAGAAGTACTTGTAGATCAAACTGTACTTTGGCGTTAAATGTTTGATATACTGTATGTACTGCAAGTATGAACCAAATGGGAACCAAATGTGACCAGCTAGGTAACAACCGTTTCTGATGCACAATTACACCTATATACAGTATCCATTCCGAGGTTCGGTTAAAAGTAAACATTTTGTTTTAGTGTTTAGGTATTCTATTAACCTTATTTTCCAACATGAAAATAGCTGAATTTATTCAACTGTACACTTTAGGCACATAAATGTAGCCGTCTGTACATGATGATTTCCTGGTCAGTTAGAGCTAGGAATTTAGGATTAGTGTACAAATGTACGTTAAGTCTGAATTGGTTCAAACGATCCATCATTATTTGCTTATTCGTGCCTGAACCATTACAAACTGTTCCTGTCCCCTGTACGGAGTACATATCAAAACGCATGTCTGAGGGATAAACTGTAAAATGTGGATTGACTATAACATCTTTGAGCTGAATTCCTTCCACAGTATGAACCAAGCTTTTGCAACCAAGCCTTTCTTGTAAAAAGTCAAAGAAAGTTTTGTGTGCATGAAAAGCTTCGTTGGATGTCCCGGACATCGGTGATAGATGGTACTGAGGGTACTTACAGGTACAGATGTAGAAATATTGCGCTGACGGTGATGAGGGCAACAACTACAACACCGGTCACTGTCCCCGCCACCACCGACGATGATGTATCTGGTGATTCACCTGGAACCATGTCAACATATTCACAGATACATTACAAACATGTCCGCACTGTTTGTCACCTCATCAAAATCCAACATGCTCACATACCACTTCTTGCTGGTATCAACAAGGAGACAATCGAAAACAAAACAAACATCGGATGCAAGAGAATACAATGCCAATGGGAGCTGAGTTAATATGATGGTTACTGAGGTTGCTAGCGAAACTCTTGTCTGAAATATTACCTGACAACTTGTCACATTGCATACACACATTGAATTGGGAAATTCTGCTTGCCATCATTGACAGTTCCAGTAAATACAAGTAGTCTCTGTGTTCGTAGTCAGTTCTCCACATGCCACCACGAGCCATTCTATGTCAACGGTTTGTGTACAAACAGAATGACTTCAACAATAAAATCTGGACACGATGTATTTTAAAATTATAATGGGGGTGTCCTTAAAAACAGCCCCCGTCTAAATATAAATCAAGCAATCCAAATCTTTGCATGTTGGAAGTCATCCAATACTATACTGAAAATATTTTATATGATATTATCTGAGGGCATACCATTATCCAACAGGTACCAAATGACAGATCGTTTTCTGCATTTTTTAAAGAAATATTATAACCCAATGTGTTGTGATGACTAATATCTCGTTAACCACATTACCCACATATGTGGAAGTTTGGATATAGCTTTGCTAATGATTCCTTCAAAGTAAAATGGAAGCTTTTCAAATATTGGACATCGATAATATAGTTAGGTTGACTACTGTTTGAACGGCCCTCGTATTGTCTTTTCCATGGCACATCAAATAATGCACAGTTACTTTATTTCAGTAGTATATTTAGGGGCATATTCCACCACAATATGCTTTGTTTAGTTCATACTTGTGAAGGATGTGAAATGGAGTTCTATGACAGAATTAAAGAATGGCATTATGTGATAAAGAGGCGTATTATCCTTGAGGATGTTGAAAGGTGTACATCAGGATCACACATCTACTTAGCCAACCTTGCTCAGCACACCCTACAGCACACCCTACAGCACACCCTACAGCACACTCGCGTGGTAAGGTGTATGTAATTACATACATATACAACTGTGTCTCATCATATGAAAGTTAAAATACCTTTAAGTTTTCTAGTTTTGCTGGTATAACACATTTTGCAATATTTGCGTTGATGTAACATTTAAAGAGCATATTAGAAACATGTTTCAAACGATTCACATTTTGATTCACTTGATTTCCCAGTGACATTTCCTCAATTATTACTTATGTACTTCTTTCCGACACAATCATAAGATTAATTGTGGATACATCATTTCTGATCTATCGCCTAAATAAGGTTTATATCAGTGACTGTTATCATTAAAACAAATACCCATGTGAGCACAGTAGTTCTTGTGTTAATGATTAGAAATTGACAGTTGGTGAGTTAGGGCGGCTCCGAATTTGGGTCCAGGGTGCCTTTTCTCGAAAGTGTCTCAGCTAAAACAGATCCTAACTAGTTAGGACATGAGTTAGGACATCCTACCGTTAGGATAAGACCCATTCTCGAAACGATCCTATGTCTGTCCTAGCTTGAGCTACCGATCCTAGCTAGGATAGCGAGCTCTTCAGTAGGTGAGATAGAAAACATTCATTAAGTTGGGGATTCCCCTAAATATTACCCATGATTCATTCCATAAAAACACACATACAGTGAATAAAGGGCAACTACAATCTCATTTACACGATAAATGGTAAGACTAGAAATCGCAGTAAAAAGCTTGAAAGCGGTGAAATTCAGCTTTTGGTGCACTTAGTAGATCTAGGAGAAATAATATTTGATTATAGTTATAATTAAAATACACATCTTGTATCCAGAGTAAATTAGTACTTGAATAGATTTAAAATATTTAATGAGATTTTTTAATATCTATTTGTTAGAATTACCTTACTTCCAGAAAAAAGTATTGTTATATGTTAATATGTTGGATATTTTCATCACACTATAGTAGTTTTGAAGTTTTTGAAAATTCATTTATTTGACAAGGAGATAACATTTCAGTTTCAGAGTTTGAAAGTCTGCCAAAAAAGCAATAAGATATGTGCAAAAAATATTTTCCGTTTTTATGAACTCTCATTATGCGTCATCTCACAAACAGAAAATTCACCTAGGAAATAAAAAGGAGTTACTTCCGCTATCAAATTGGCCTTGACATTGACATTTCACGGCAACGTGACAGTAAAGAGCAATGTTGTGTTTGAAAAGGCCGAGAATAGGTAAGAATTGAACAAATCTCTTTGTAGATCTAAATAATATGTGCATTGCAACAAGTGTGTCTATTCATTACCTATACATTGATAATATATACACAAAAAACTCTTCTTAACTCATCAAAACTGTGTGCTGTTGTAATTTCAAATGTAATTTAGGTGAGTTATTTTGTTTGACAACGTCAAAATTGTCGAACGAACAAGAACCACACCATGTTGACTTCCACTAAGATAGGACAAGTCAGACCCTATCCTTGTATTTGTCCTAAGTTAGGATATCCTAGCGCTAGGATACTTTTCGAGAATAAGGTAGGACACCTATCCCAGACCCTAGGATGAAAGTTAAGATGTCCTACGGCTAGGATCCTTTCGAGAATAGGGGCCCAGGTCAGCTGGATGTTCTGTCAGCTTAGAGCTGTAAACAAGGAGAATTTGATCTGTCATTTGACACTCGGGTTCGATTCTCCTATCCTGGGTGGGTGGGTGGGTGGGTGGGTGGGTGGGTGGGTGGAGTGAGTGGTGAGTGAGTGAGTGAGTGAGTGGGTGGGTGGGTGGGTGGAGTGAGTGATTGAGTGAGTGAGTGAGTGAGTGAGATAAGGCCATGAACAAGCTTCTATCTCTCTCTAGGTGTTACCTAATGCATTTGAAGACAGGCACGCCAGTACGTTAGCATAGGGAGTCCATTCCCCGGCGGGGCTGCAGGTCAGGGTTTTAGTGGACAGTGGTTGATATCCCTCTTCACATGACAGTGTGCAGCGAGTGCCAGGTAGAAGGTCGGATCCGACACAAACACTTGGTAGAATGGTGCCATGACTTGGATTTACCAAGAAGGGACATACTAGTAGCTGTCCTGTAAAAGAGATTTATGGTTCTCTTGATAAAGTCATTCCATTCCACCGGAACCGATTTCGACAGACAGGTAACTGGTGTTATTTTGACCCTCTATAGCGTCTGGTGATAGATGTCTTCGGTACAATTAGAAGGATAAAGTTCGTCTCTTTGGAACTGAAGTTCGGATGACGTTCAAGGACTTAAACGGTTCAACGATATATGAGTACTTACACAAGGCCTAGCTTGGTTTCTCAATAGTAACATCATTTTAGTCTGGACCAAGCAAGCCTGCGATCACTGATATGACAAGCGAAGGGGTACAGCATTCAACGCTAGTACATTTCAGTATAAGTCTGATTTTCCTTTACACGTTAAGAAAGTTCGATGTCGATATGTAGCTCAAATAGTCTATACAAGAGAAATGTCGACCATGGCTACTCTTGAGCACACATTACGATTCTTGTACGATTTATTCATCTTCTGATATAGTTAGTAAATAGAATACCTCCAAGATGCCTTGCAGCGTGTACGTGGTGGAAAGACAACCCAGAAAAGTAACTCATGTGCTTAAAATAAGTCGTCCATTTTGCATCTTGTATATAATAAATAATAACCCAGCATAAACTGACTGTGTATAACAATGCCGGTAATAATCCAGCATAAACTGACTGTGTGTGACAGTGCCGGTAATAACCCAGCATAAACTGACTGTGTATGACAATGCCGGTAATAACCCAGCATAAACTTACTGTGTGTGACAATGCCAGTAATAACCCAGCATAAACTTACGGTGTATGACAGTGCCGGTAATAACCCAGCATAAACTGACTGTGTGTGACAATGCCGGTAATAACCCAGCATAAACTGACTGTGTGTGACAATGCCTGTAATAACCCAGCATAACTTACTGTGTATGACAGTGCCGGTAATAACCCAGCATAAACTGACTGTGTGTGACAATGCCGGTAATAACCCAGCATAAACTGACTGTGTGTGACAATGCCTGTAATAACCCAGCATAAACTGACTGTGTGTGACAGTGCCGGTAATAACCCAGCATAAACTGACTGTGTGTGACAATGCCGGTAATAACCCAGCATAAACTGACTGTGTGTGACAGTGCCGGTAATAACCCAGCATAAACTGACTGTGTGTGACAATGCCGGTAATAACCCAGCATAAACTGACTGTGTGTGACAATGCCGGTAATAACCCAGCATAAACTTACCGTGTGTGACAGTGCCGGTAATAACCCAGCATAAACTGACTGTGTGTGACAGTGCCTGTAATAACCCAGCATAAACTGACTGTGTGTGACAATGCCGGTAATAACCCAGCATAAACTGACTGTGTGTGACAATGCCGGTAATAACCCAGCATAAACTTACTGTGTGTGACAGTGCCGGTAATAACCCAGCATAAACTGACTGTGCGTGACAATGCCGGTAATAACCCAGCATAAACTGACTGTGTGTGACAGTGCCGGTAATAACCCAGCATAAACTGACTGTGTGTGACAATGCCGGTAAAACCCAGCATAAACTGACTGTGTGTGACAGTGCCGGTAATAACCCAGCATAAACTGACTGTGTGTGACAATGCCAGTAATAACCCAGCATAAACTGACTGTGTGTGACAATGCCGGTAATAACCCAGCATAAACTGACTGTGTGTGACAGTGCCGGTAATAACCCAGCATAAACTGATTGTGTGTGACAATGCCAGTAATAACCCGGTAATAACCCAGCATAAACTGACTGTGTGTGACAATGCCTGTAATAACCCAGCATAAACTGACTGTGTGTGACAATGCCAGTAATAACCCGGTAATAACCCAGCATAAACTGACTGTGTGTGACAATGCCTGTAATAACCCAGCATAAACTGACTGTGTATGACAATGCCTGTAATAACCCAGCATAAACTGACTGTGTGTGACAGTGCCGGTAATAACCCAGCATAAACTTACTGTGTGTGACTGTGCCGGTTCCAGTGACATTTGTCTTGGTGCAGACTAGCTGTTGTCCAGACCAAGTACCTTCTTCACAACGCCTGATTGTCGTACCACTGAGAGGCGTGTAGCCAACGTTACACGACTGTTCACAGAGCTCCTGATAACTGTAAGGCGTTTCACAGCTCTGCAATCTACCGTGGAGTGGAGTCGGTGGTGCTGGGCAGGTGATAGCTATAAGAAGATATTTTTCCATGACAATAAAGTGTATAATGTTTGTGGAAATACAGCTATTGGGAACAAACATTAGACGTCTGGTAAAAGATGACGTTTATGTAAACAACGATGTCGCTGTTAACAACAGAAGGTGATTTTCAGTACATGCATTAGCCTTGCCCCAAGGCTGTACTGAAGCCCATGGATATAAAGTAATTGTGTCCTTTAAAGAGGCAAGGACGCCAGTCTCTGAGGGGTATATATACTTTGTAGAAATTAACATTCAAACTGTTAATTATATCTTAGAGACTTGTGCAAGTCTATGCATGCACATGTATCTTTATAACTATATTTTCTGATCGACATATGCAAACATAACATAAAGATATATAAATTATGCAAGTACTGAAAATACATACCTCGTGAAGATACAATATATTTTCTGACATATGCAAACATAAACATATCTATGTATGTACTGAAAATATATACCTCGTGAAGAATACAATACATGTTCATATGAAAACACAACCTAAACATGGGAATGACCGGCATAAAAGATCTCCTGGATTTCAAGGCGCTGGCAACCTTCATGGTAGGATAGAGCAAGTAAGTCGATCTCCTGCTGCTTATAGAGGCCCACACTGACTTCCACGGGGCCACACACTGACTCAGAGTTGCTCTGTCGCTGGACCAAAGCGCACAACATGAACTCGCACATACAACACCATGGAACTTCCAAGGTCTCTTCGCACATTCATCTCTTTGCATCTTCTGTCAGGCCAGAAAATCAGCATGAACGTATATTTGGGCATCCATCCAGCTAAACCCACCCTTGCACCCATCCTCCCTTCTATCATCCATCCACACGCACACCCTTCCTTTCTTCCATCCATCCATCCACACACACACCCTCCCTTCCATCCATCCATCCACACACCAACACACACCATTCCTTCTTTCCATCATCCACCCACCGACCCATCCATCCATCCACACACACTCCCTTCCTTCCATCCACACACACACCCTTCCTTCCTTTCACCCATCCATCCACACACCCATCCTTCCTTCCTTCATTCCATCCATCTATCAATCCACACACACACACACCCTTCCTTCCATCCACACACACACCTTCCTTCGTTTCTTCCATCCACACACACACACCCTTCCTTCTCTTCTTCCATCCATTCATCCATCCATCAACCCACCCACCGACCCACCTATCCAGCCATCCACCCACCCACCTATCCATCCATCCTGCTGTGTGGCAATAATTCTCGTGCTTTACATCGTTCCTGTTAAGCTTTAGTAGAGGTCAGCGGTGTACTGGTTACAATTAAATTAAAAATAAATTTAAAAAAAATAGAACCCATTTCAATAAACTGTTCTTTAAACAGGCAATATATGTGTGAGATTAGTTTATTGTGTTCAGAAATCACTAGCATACTAGTTTATTATATGGAATTTGTGTGCTTGGAAATAGTTTCAACAGTTCCTGTTTTAAGACAGATTTATTAGACAGACATTATCATGGATTGATATCATTAGATACCTGTGCAAGTGGTACCATTCATTGTCCAATGAGCTGCGCCAGCACTATCGACGTCACATGTTACGTTACGTCGACCAGACAGAGCGAAACCTCGGCGACAGTTAATGTGGCAGTTGGACCCATAGAAAGACCTGCAGATGGTTGAATCAATATATCCATTTGCAGGGGGCTTGGGGTCGGAGCAAGTCAACACTACAAACAACAAACAAAGTACATTCAAAGTACAGGAAATAAAGGAAAGAAGCATGGTTTGTAATATATACTCTCCCATAAAAGAAACATAATGGTGTATGTTCACGAATTTGATCTGCTAAGTGAGATAACACCTGTAATTCTGGATCAGTTACAGCCAAAATTCACTGTTAACACGTATAGCTTATAAAAAGTTCATTAACTGAAGGCCCCCGTTCCTGGTTGGGCGTTGTCTTCAATATCTGTTGTGGACACCAGGAGCCAAAACTTCTCTGCACCGTCACGACATGGACTGGATAAGTCTTTAAATTCGATCTTGTTGGATTCTGGTCCATTCCCCTTGCAATGCCTGCGACAGTTGATCTAACTGGTTTACGTACGCTTCGACCGTGGTCATCCCACAAATGCTCGATGGGATTGAAGTTTGGCGATTTGAAAGGCCAAGGTCTTCACAAGAAGCACTGTGATGTTCTCATCCTGAAGATACTGAATAGTGGCATGTGCTGTGTGAGGCCTGGCTTTCTCTTGCTGGAACAACTCCTGGCGGCCAGTGATCGGAACCATGCGAATCCTTAAGATTTCGTCTTTGTACCGAATAGCAGTTAAATTGCCCTGAAGGCGCGCAAAGTTAGCTTTCTGCGTGTAGGATATGGCTCCCCACATCACGACACTCATAGCATCATATCAATCAACCTGGGCGACACAATTCTGAAATATTGCCGAGTGCGGCGTAAAACTAAAGTCACTCAATTCAATTCAATTAAAGTGTGTACAGTCACATAATATTTGAAACAGATTGTCTATTGTTGAACCTATGATAGATGTATGTTGATAGATGTTTAACACTTTGTAGATTTGGTGCTTTCAACAATAACTTTAATTTATATTCACAACGATTGATGCTATTAAAACGCGAGAGTTGGGGAATCAGCTCGCTTGGCAAGAGGTTTAACCATACCAACCCACACACAACACAACACATGAGTAAATAAACAAGGATCTAGGAGTTATTTTACACAATCAGTCAATAATAGTATGGTTTATAATTAATTATTAGAACATGTTAACAATGCAATAATCTATCAAAGTACATAAACACCACATGTAGATTCGTTACACCTATTACATTAATCATGATACACATTCAAAAGTATACAACGTAATGTAATTGTTCAATACTCTACACTTTAACCCAGCGGGCGTTCACACAATCTACATTCTGTAACACATCAACCCAGCGGGCGTTCATACAAACTACATTCTGTAACAGTCACACAACAGCATAGTATTCACGACGTAATACAATAGTACATATCTTTTAACCTTTGTGTTACAATAGTTAAAATGCCCGACACACTCTATATATTCTATAATAGTCACAAAACTGCGTAGTGTTTATCAGTATTAAATAAACAATCCTAAACAGTAATACAGAATATATGATACATATAATAAGGGATGCCTCGTTCCACATCAACCTGAAGGTAGTGCCATGGTTAACAAATAGTAAAGAGATGACCAATAGATTAAAGTTAACATAGAATAGCAATGGTAAAGATTTATCAAACTAGAAGAAAGTAGAGTTACATACTGGAGTGAATTTACTAGACAGTCACCCCATGAATTGTGACTGTTGCCCGTATTATATACCTGTTCACGCTGTCGCAGATAATCGCGTTACAGATAAAACTTACGATAACGTTGGTATTGTCAACTCGAGATTATGTCATTTAGTTGGACCGAAGCATCGATGGCCAGTCGCGAGTATGCCACGTAGGTATATGTGGCACGGGATTTGACCATGGGATATAAATATACAATACAGATAAACGTACTGCACCTTGGTTCTATTAGCTTAAGGGATACTGGTCCCGGATTATGTCCGATGTACGTTATCAATGTGACCCTTCACGGGTTTAAGATTGAGGAACGTGGTCAGTTAGTCTGTAATATTTCCAGTTTTCAATAACACATATCATTATACAATATTGGTAAAACTTTGTCCAGTTTTTCCGTGTTAATAGTATCCCCCTGTTCTTTTAAAATTTCGTCCCGAAATTTGTATACACAAAATGACATCATACATATTTACATTTCGAGTGATGGGTAGATTGTGATACCTAAACAACTGGTCCCGCCTACCCGGATGGCGGACAGGTGTTAGTCCAATTATCCTAATGGTGTTAGATTAGATATACAGGAACCTACTAGTAAATACATAAATCGAATTGTCAACATCGGCGCAACATAAGATAACAATAATAAGTATCTGACATGCATGTAAACACAAAACACAGGTGAGCGGAAATTCCAGCTGTTGATAAAATACAGGTGACTGATAAGTACACATATGACATATAGGAACAAAAACAACGTGTGAAATGCGTCGTCATTTGCATAATTATGAATGCAATATGTTCATGAAAACAGTAAGATGCTTGAAGCTGGGAGTCTTATATTGTGAGCCTAGACTCAGAAGGCTAGCAGAAATTGTGATCTGCTCTAAACAAAGTAAGAGCATGGAGGGAAGGGAACTTAACCAACTTCAAAAGCCTAAACTGACATATAATGAAAAATTCATTCAAATGAGCTTGGCACGACTATACTTCTAAAATCGTATATTGTGAGTCAGGAACACCGAAGATAGTTATTTCCGCCGGTATCATAGTTAAGAGGTAGCGAAACGAAGTAGTACGATACAGACTGGGTATACAGTCTCCACTAATTAGCGCGGTGAATATGCCTTGCAATGGGTCTCCATTACTTATGTATATTTGTACAATAGCTGTTATGATAGAGAACGATTATATCATATCTTTCACAATGAGTACTTATAAATTTGATGCTCACATGTTCAAAAAGGACGATATGAAAATGTAAGCAGGAAATCATAGGGTATTGAATAACTTATGGAAAGCTTTCATCTATAGTGACGGCTATAGACCTACAAAGTATGAGAAAAATTCTTGAAACCGGGAGTCTGGTTTGTATGGGAAAACTCGGATCCCGCAGATAACCTTGATCTGCACTAATGCGTAGGGTATAACCAGATCGTACCGTAGAGTAAGAACCTATTTTAACAACTTAATCTGATAAAGATGCATGTCTGATAACATCACATATATTGCAATACATACTCAATATATATAAAAACATGACAAACGTGAACACCACAAAACAGTGACCGGATAAGGACAACATACCTGACATAACAAGAATCTTTGAAAAGCGATATACACATGCACACAGTACACGGTGAGAGTCAGAACCAAAGTTCACAGATATTGTCAAACACTTCGGCAGAAACTTGTTCTCACCTGTGACTGTTATCCTGAAGACACAAGTACTGCTAATGCCCGAGACATATATTCTCACCTGTGACTGTTATCCTGAAGACACAAGTACTGCTAATGCCCGAGACATATATTCTCACCTGTGACTGTTATCCTGAAGACACAAGTACTGCTAATGCCCGAGACATATATTCTCACCTGTGACTGTTATCCTGAAGACACAAGTACTGCTAATGCCCGAAACATCAACTGCCCTCACTGTGACGGTGTATTCTCCATCACCTAGGTTAACTGGTGGCGTCTGACTCTGAAATATGCTCACACTCTCGCCAGTGTTATCGGTTGCTGTTGGATGCGTCCAGTTGACTGTTGCTGTTTCATATCCTTGAGGTGCTCTTACATCTACGTTCTGTGGGCAAGTGATGTTAGGACCTTGTGTGTCTGATAATAACAACGCATCATGTCATATGAAATATAACGTCTTGGCTCATTCTAACGTCTGCATAATGATGTGATTTTCTATGTTGAAAGAGGAAATGAATTATCTAGACAACAGCAATTTCATATACGGCAATATCGATGTTTCGGCATGGATCCAGGTGCCTTTGTCAGACATGAACGACTGAAGCGACCATAACACAAAACTATATATGATTGTGAATGTTCATATATGAGAGAGGTGGACATGTGACAAGGTAATGCTAATACAAGCGTTACGCACAATTAAGTGAAAGTAGAAAATCTCCTACAAGGGCCACCGTATTGACGTAGTGTCTTCTAACGTAGGTCGGTGGCTAACAATGAGTTACATGAGTGAGTGTGTGTTCGCCTTGTCCAGACTCGATGATGCCATCATGACAATTATGACATAACTTGTATATTGGTGTGAACCCACTTCATAAATGCAGGACTTTTCTTTACAAGTGATTTTATGTTTTTTGTACCCTTCTGGGTTTAATATATGATTTTCACTGTTGTAATAACACCTTGGTTCTTGTGTCCAAACTACTTAACCACCAACATTCCGAGTCGATAGCACACGTGTCGCCCTAACTAAGTGGACAAAACGGATACCTAAATCATTGACTGCTTGGGAATCATCTAATGGAGGGTGCTATCGGTGCAATAAAGCAATCTGATAAACTTGGTATCCAAATCTGATAACTATGCAAATTATGTCAATCCACGAACTACTTTCTCAAAACTCCATACATGCCATGCGAATCCTAAAACGTTTTAACATTTCATTGATGACGTCGTCGCGAGTTTACACTGCCTGGACGAGTTTGTAAACAAACATGGCTGCCCCCATTATCAAAATTGGCGATTCTGTAAGAATTGATGACAGACGTTCTGGAGTCGTTACTGCAGTAATTGACTTTGGAAAACATGAAACGGAGAACTTCGTTTAAAGTGAAGGTACGAATTATGAGGCATGAGTGACAGGCTATCGTCTAAGTCAGGTATCAACCAAGGATTTGGATCTATCGATCACAACAAAGAAGACGAAAAATCGATTCCGTCAGGTATCAGAAACTGATATTGTTGAGGTGATTATCCCAATGAAAATAGAAACACTACCAAGAAAAGTCTCGCTTAATACACTTTTTATTCCTAATATATGATATTAATGATAGGGAAACACACTCGGTTAATAATCTCTATTTATTACACGGAGGGTGGTTGGGATATTGGTGACGTTAAGTGGAGTCAAAGGTCTCGGCGACGCAAACATGGAACTCAGTTTGTTTAACGCGCCTATTTCTGACACTTATATCATCGAACACTATGATACTCGCATTATTGAAGACATCAAACTCTGGCACTCGCATTACTGAACTTTGATATCCATGGTGTCGACGCTATTGGTAACATTTCTATATGTACACATCTACCACTGAATAGTATAGGTCAGATCTATGTTTTACACTCAACATATGGAACACATTGATCTGTGACACCCAATATTTTAGTACTGGTGTTCTGGTTATTGAACATTTTGGATATATATTTCAGTGTCTCACCCTGACATAAAAGTGGAGCTCCCAGGTTGTTCCACTGCCCATTGCTCATACACTGTAGGTTTGACTGACCAGTGAGAGAGAAGCCTGGCATGCAGGTGACTGTGCAGTATTTCCCCACCGGAGCTTCTACCTCTGTGCAGTTGCGTGGGGATACAGATCCATACTTCGGAGAGAAGAGTGCCGGGCAGGGCTTTGCTGAACAAAATACACGATAATCAGCATGAAAACATAGTTACACAGAAAATGACTCTCAAAGTACAATGTTCATGATATCACAAAAAAACACGGTTTTACAGGACAGTTAGTGCCATACAAGAATGGTCAGATGTTCGGACCCACCATCCTGCTCGTGGGTTTTATAAAAGTGTAAACGTCCAAGAAATCGTTTACCACAATAGGCTGATAGGTCGTGATGATACAGTCACGGCGGTACCTCACTCACCCACTCAAACTAACACAACAGATTATAACAGAGCTACTTAATCTCATTTATGTGAGATTAGATTTCATGGTCCCGCATCACACACAGGCCTTCAAACATTTTCCTATAGAAATTAAACCTTTTGAATGAACTTCCTTCACTGAGAACAACTCACTTATGCCACAGGTGAGTCCATCTGGCTGAAGGGTGAGGCCGGCTGGACAAACACAATAAAACCCGTTGCCAGGATTAGGCAAACAGATATGGCTGCACCCACCTCGCCCATTGCTGCACGCATTAGTACCTGAATTAATGAAATACAAACGGGTCATTATCGCAAGTGGTTGTATACAAGAACCTTCCCGCAGTAGTTATAATACTCTCCTAACCAGTTATGTTCAATAATTAATGCAACGTATTGAGGGTAAATCAAATGATGAACTTCTCAAGTAGGAAACATTAATGTGAATATATTACAAGTGATTTCCTGACGTGATTGGCGGATATTTGATTGGGTCATATCGGAATATCACATTCTTACATGTAACTGTCATATCGTCATATCTCACCCTTAAATATTACTGGCGTACCTGAACATTTCACCCTTACATGTAACTGGCATATCGGAACATCTCACCCTTACATGTAACTGGCATATCGTCATATCTCACCCTTACATGTAACTGGCATATCGTCATATCTCACCCTTACGTGTAACTGGCATATCGGAATATCTCACCCTTACATATAACTGGCATATCGGAATATCTCACCCTTACATGTAACTGGCATATCATCATATCTCACCCTTATATGTAACTGGCATATCGTCATATCTCACACTGACATGTAACTGGCATATCGGAATATCTCACCCTTATATCTAACTGGCATATCGTCATATCTCACCCTTACATGTAACTGGCATATGGTCATATCTCACCCTTACATGTAACTGGGATATGGTCATATCTCACCTTTATATGTAACTGGCATATCGGAACATCTCACCCTTACATGTAACTGGCATATGGTCATATCTCACCCTTATATGTAACTGGGATATCGTCATATCTCACCCTTACGTGTAACTGGCATATCGGAATATCTCACCCTTATATGTAACTGGCATATCGGAATATCTCACCCTTACATGTAACTGGCATATCATCATATCTCACTCTTATATGTAACTGGCATATCGTCATATCTCTCACTTATATGTAACTGGCATATCGTCATATCTCACCCTTACATGTAACTGACATATCGGAATATCTCACCCTTACATGTAACTGGCATATCGTCATATCTCACCCTTATATGTAACTGGCATATGGTCATATCTTACCCTTACATGTAACTGGTATATCGTCATATCTCACCCTTACATGTAACTGGGATATGGTCATATCTCACCCTTATATGTAACTGGCATATCGGAACATCTCACCCTTACATGTAACTGGCATATCGGAATATCTCACCCTTATATGTAACTGGCATATCGTCATATCTCACCCTTATATGTAACTGGCATATCGGAATATCTCACCCTTACATGTAACTGGGATATGGTCATATCTCACCCTTATATGTAACTGGCATATCGTCATATCTCACCCTTACATGTAACTGGCATATCGGAATATCTCACCCTTATATGTAACTGGCATATCGTCATATCTCACCCTTACATGTAACTGGCATATCGGAATATCTGACCCTTAACTGTAACTGGCATATCGGAATATCCCAATTTTCTCAAATTAACCAAGAAACATAAGATCGAAAATCTTATATGAAATGCGCACGCAAGAAAACGCGTTTGTATTTCGGGGAAGCGGTTGTTCAACGAATATTTTGTTGTCGGCATTGATCTGAAACAAATATAAAATCCTACGTTTTCGAAAAATTAGAAAATGTTGTGTCAATATATTGATGTTGTTTTCTTGTCTTATATACTATAAACAAGTAGGGGATATTCCATTTTAAGTAGATATTATTTACGAACCTGGTTGCATGATTGCATAATATGTATTTAGAACATGATTCCATTCAAAATTGTGAATTACGTGCAAAACGCCTAGTTCGTGCAAGCGTTTTTCGTGATGTTCACGTGAACGTAGCCGGAGGAAATTGACAGTGACAGTGACAGTGGCATGTGTTGTAGACGAGCTTCGCAGAGCTGTACATGCGTTACGATTCGTTGTCTCAGTCAGTTGTCCCTGTGACACTGTTCAACTATTTAGCTCATTAACGCTATAAAATATGAATAGTTGCGACACCTTTTTATTGAATACTCCCTATTTCCTTTTTTATAATATTATTCTTGTACACATACCACCATAAATCCTGAACTTCACTGCCTATAAGGACATCTATCTTCACAAAGCAAAAGTTAAATATAAAGAAAAACCTCAAACATTGCAAACTTAATTTGTTCTGGTAACTTGGCAACTGCTTTAAAGAAACAGGTCGAAAACCATATGTTATTGCACTTCATGAAAAGAAAAGCATCTGTCGTTGAAGAGATCCCTTCGGCGACTGCTTGAGGCTTTAATGCGATATGTGGGACAGGTATGAACTGAAACAGAGTTCATCAAACATGCCGGCTTCGTCACTACCTCGATCAGGGGCGGTGGGGTAGCCTAGTGGTTAAAGCGTTGGCTCGTCACGCCGAAGACCCGGGTTCGAATCCCAACAAGTGTACAATGTGTGAAGCCCATTTCTGGTGTTCCCCGCCGTGATGTTGCTGGAATATTGCTAAAAGCGGCGTAAAACCAAACTCAGTCAGTCAGTCACTACCTCGATCACCATTAATCATAGCGGTAAAACCTAAAGTACCGTGTTTACCTCTGATTAAATGTCTGAGCGACACGTCCTGTCTATGGGAGCAATGAAGCCTGCTTATGACGCTTTGTGGAATAATAGCCTCTCTCCAGGAAGGACTGCACAATTACCTGGCCCTTTTTGAGACGGTGTACACGTATACCTGACTAATCCCATAGATCTTCAAGCCGTTATGTTATGAGCTCATATGAAATCAGTGGTGTGTGGACATAAGCCATGCCATGCTGAAACATGGCGCCTGGTGCTTGCAGAGCCGGGACAACGTAAGGATTACGGTAACGCTCACCTGTTAAGTTGTCCTTGAAATCCCATTTAATCAGATAATCAGATCTTAGTTCTCGCTGCAGCTAAACTGAGAACATATCACTTCTGGTCACGACAGAAACACCTTTACTGCGACCAATGAGGGCTTCGTTTAACAAACCGAGAAAAGTGTGGTTGGAATGTATGTTTTAATCATTTAAATCAAGAAAATCTTAACATTTTGTACAAACGACTGAACGACTGATTCGGTAAGAACATCGTTGCTCCACAGGGTTAAACATTCGAAACAGGAGAAACTTTCCATAGTCCGAGGGAAATACTGCAATACAATCTTTTCTGTCAACGCTCCAGAAAATAACGTTTGTAAATTATGAATATGTATTTTTGAAAGCGTATTCTGAAATGATATCAGTTTACAACTATTGCCGTAAAGTTTGAGAAAGCTGATTTCTCACTGACTCATACCGACTTCTTGTAAGTTCAGGTTAAAGTTCTGGGCCCTTATTCTCGAAACGTTCGTAGCCCTGAGAATTCATAACTTTGATTGTAGCCATTGTGTTAAGAATGGGCTTAAGAAGTTCTTAGAGCTACGAATGTTTCGAGAATATCCTTTCCGGTCGTTCTGAGTTGACCCAAAATCTGATTGGTTGGCCTGCATGTAAACAATAAGAGACGATTCCCAACATTATGACACTTTCTTGGTCTTTGGTTCTTGTACGCCATAGTCTTTATGAACCAATAGTTTACATTAAAATGTAACACAAGTCAACCAGGGACAATATTTATTTTGTATAATGCATCTTGCTGCTGAGGTATTATTCTATATACGCTGAGATGTGGAAACGTTGGAGGGTTTGCCTTATTCAATTAAAGATGGTTGACTGACGGTTTGGTATTTGACAATAAGCAGCTTCACGCAAATTCGACAGAATATTCTTAAAGCTGCTCGCTTAAGTAACTATATAAACATTTTAATCAATAAAATCACGTTTCTTTATAACTGTAAGACTCTGTTGTAAAAACGAACATGTTCACACAAAAGGATTATTGCAGCAAACGGTTGAAACGTCACTTTGGTGATAAGTGTAGCTTCATCGTAAGGGTACAGATAGAGGTTTGCCACGTACCTGATGGGCCCCATCCATCTCGGTGGTAGTGGATGTCGTTAAGACGCCCAAACCCACCTGGCCCCAACTTTGTCATTCCACTGCCGTCATCGTTCATCCGAAACACACTTCTGCATATAAATAGTAGAACTTTGTTGTGATCTATTAATATATAATACCGTTCTGTTTTTACCATCATTTCTTACTAATTTTGCTGTCAATGGTCTAATTAGACAATAAGATTAGGACCAACGTTGATATACATATTTCATGTACTGTAACCAAATTAAGTACAAGTATATTCAAAATAAGAGGAAAGAGTCAAGCTTTATCATGTGTGATACCTGTACCACACATGCAGGTCTGAGACCGAGACATGGATACCAATAAGTACCCACTGCAGGTCCATTCTGGTGACGGACAAGTGTATGCTGAAGCTCTGATTCTACCTACTGCATGGGTAGGCTGGTGACGTACAAGTGTTTGCTGAAGCTCTGATTCTACCTACTGCATGGGTAGGCTGGTGACGTACAAGTGTTTGCTGGAGCTCTGATTCTATCTACTGCATGGGTAGGTTGGTGACGTACAAGTGTTTGCTGAAGCTCTGATTCTACCTACTGCATGGGTAGGCTGGTGACGTACAAGTGTTTGCTGAAGCTCTGATTCTACCTACTGCATGGGTAGGCTGGTGACGTACTTGTAAGTGTTTGCTGAAGCTCTGATTCTACCTACTGCATGGGTAGGCTGGTGACGTACACGTTTTTTCTAAAGCTGTGATTACACCAATTGCAAGGACAGTTTTGAGACGGACAGGTGTTTACTGAAGCTGTGATTCGACCGTCTGCAGGGGTAGGGATATGGTTTTGCTCATAATTTCTTCAAAATAAAATCGAAGCTTTTCAAACATTGGACATCACGAATATAGTAAGGCTGGCTGCTTTTTGAGCGCCCCTCGTATATACCACCCCAAATCATCTCAAATTGTTTATCTCAGTTTACTATCTCTGATAATTGATATTATTACGATTTGCAAAATCTGTCTACTCACTATATACATCAGGAAGCTAAAAAAACTAGTTCAACATTTAATTAATCTCAGTTATTTAAAATGAATTATCAAACCCCGAATAACAACAGCACAATCTTGTTCCCTTCTCATCTGTATACTCTGTGCAGCTTACCGGTAATCTGACACTGTATACTCCACCCTGTAATCTCTCCTTTGGGTTAGTTCATTATGCCAGACAGATATATGCAACGTGTTGTTTTAACTAATTGTAGAAGTACTGGGCTGTAGCGGTTATGGTATGTAAGGGTTTGGGGAGACAACCGCTGGTGACGGACAGGTGTTTACTGAAGCTGTGATTCTGCCGTCTGCAGGGGTAGGCTGGTGACGGACAGGTGTTTACTGAAGCTGTGATTCTGCCATCTGCAGGGGTAGGCTGGTGACGGACACATATTTGCTGAAGCTGTGATTGCATCTACTCAGTGTTTACCCATTTCACCTATACTAAAAAGGATAGTGAATGATTTATTTGTTGAGAATGAGGCACTGGGTGTACCTACTGTTGGGACCAGTCGGTGAAGAAGAGATAGTCACTAAAATACATAATGCCAAAATATTGAGACCCCACACTGGAAGACAGAACGACACGGTGGCGTCCGTCAAGTCGAGATTTTTCTATTGTTCCAGAACCCTCGTCACACCAGTATAGCTCATCACCTGCCATGCAACCAATAAAACATGTCATGAAATCAATCAATATAATGACAATAAGCTGACAAGTACGGCCAATTATTACTGCTTACATTGGATTTCCTTCACTTTGTTCAGTTAGCATGTGCAGAACCTACCTGCAGGTCACTTCTCATTGACCACAGAATGTATGAAATGTACCCCGATGATCACAGAATGTATGAAATGTACCCCGATGATTACAGAACTGCTGTATGAAATGTACCCCGATGATCACAGAATTGCTGCATGAAATGTATCATATTAATAACAGAATTGCTGTATGAAATGTATCCCGATGATAACAGAACTGCTATATGAAATGTATCATATTGATCACAGAATTGCTGTATGAAATGTATCATATTAATAACAGAATTGATGTATGAAATGTACCCCGATGATCACAGAAATGTTGTATGAAATGTACCCCGATGATCACAGAACTGTTGTATGAAATGTACCCCGATGATCACAGAACTGCAGTATGAAATGTACCCCGATGATCACAGAACTGTTGTATGAAATGTACCCCGATGGTCACAGAGCTGTTGTATGAAATGTACCCCGATGATCACAGAACTGCTGTATGAAATGTACCCTGATGATCACAGAATGTATGAAATGTAACCCGATGATCACAGAACTGCTGTATGAAATGCACCCCGATGATCACAAAATGTATGAAATGTACCCCGATGATCACAGAACTGTTGTATGAAATGTACCCCGATGATCACAGATCTGTTGTACGAAATGTACCCCGATGATCACAGAACTGTTGTATGAAATGTACTCCGATGATCACAGAACTGCTGTATGAAATGTATCATATTGATCACAGAATTGCTGTATGAAATGTATCATATTAATCACAGAATTGCTGTATGAAATGTATCATATTGATCACAGAACTGTTGTATGAAATGTACCCCGATGATCACAGAACTGCTGTATGAAATGTACCCCGATGATCACAGAATGTATGAAATGTACCCCGATGATCACAGAACTGCTGCATGAAATGTACCCTGATGATCACAGAACTGTTGTATGAAATGCATCATATTGATCACAGAACTGCTGTATGAAATGTATCATATTAATCACAGAATTGCTGTATGAAATGTACCCTGATGATCACAGAACTGTTGTATGAAATGTACGCCGATGATCACAGAATGTATGAAATGTACCCCGATGATCACAGAACTGTTGTATGAAATGTATCATATTAATAACAGAATTGCTGTATGAAATGTATCCCGATGATCACAGAACTGCTGTATGAAATGCACCCCGATGATCACAGAATGTATGAAATGTACCCCGATGATCACAGAACTGTTGTATGAAATGTACCCCGATGATCACAGATCTGTTGTACGAAATGTACCCCGATGATCACAGAACTGTTGTATGAAATGTACTCCGATGATCACAGAACTGCTGTATGAAATGTATCATATTGATCACAGAATTGCTGTATGAAATGTATCATATTAATCACAGAATTGCTGTATGAAATGTATCATATTGATCACAGAACTGTTGTATGAAATGTACCCCGATGATCACAGAACTGCTGTATGAAATGTACCCCGATGATCACAGAATGTATGAAATGTACCCCGATGATCACAGAACTGCTGCATGAAATGTACTCCGATGATCACAGAACTGCTGTATGAAATGTATCATATTGATCACAGAATTGCTGTATGAAATGTATCATATTAATCACAGAATTGCTGTATGAAATGTATCATATTGATCACAGAACTGTTGTATGAAATGTACCCCGATGATCACAGAACTGCTGTATGAAATGTACCCCGATGATCACAGAATGTATGAAATGTACCCCGATGATCACAGAACTGCTGCATGAAATGTACCCTGATGATCACAGAACTGTTGTATGAAATGCATCATATTGATCACAGAACTGCTGTATGAAATGTATCATATTAATCACAGAATTGCTGTATGAAATGTACCCTGATGATCACAGAACTGTTGTATGAAATGTACCCCGATGATCACAGAATGTATGAAATGTACCCCGATGATCACAGAACTGTTGTATGAAATGTATCATATTAATAACAGAATTGCTGTATGAAATGTATCCCGATGATCACAGAACTGCTGTATGAAATGCACCCCGATGATCACAGAATGTATGAAATGTACCCCGATGATCACAGAACTGTTGTATGAAATGTACCCCGATGATCACAGATCTGTTGTACGAAATGTACCCCGATGATCACAGAACTGTTGTATGAAATGTACTCCGATGATCACAGAACTGCTGTATGAAATGTATCATATTGATCACAGAATTGCTGTATGAAATGTATCATATTAATCACAGAATTGCTGTATGAAATGTATCATATTGATCACAGAACTGTTGTATGAAATGTACCCCGATGATCACAGAACTGCTGTATGAAATGTACCCCGATGATCACAGAATGTATGAAATGTACCCCGATGATCACAGAACTGCTGCATGAAATGTACCCTGATGATCACAGAACTGTTGTATGAAATGCATCATATTGATCACAGAACTGCTCTATGAAATGTATCATATTAATCACAGAATTACTGTATGAAATGTACCCTGTTGGTCACAGAATTGCTCTATCAAATGTATCATATTGATCACAGAACTGCTGTATGAAATGTATCAAATTGATCACAGAATTGCTGTATGAAATATATCATATTGATCACAGAATTGCTGTATGAAATGTATCATATTGATCACAGAATTGCCCAACAAGATGCACAATCTGTTTCGTTCTGAGGTCATCAATCCAACTGAGTGAGTTACCGTCCGGGTTGATAGCGATACCAGTCGGCTTAACGAGGTTCTTAGTGACAAGAGGAGTTCTCATGGACCCGTCATATGAGGCTCTCTCGATCTTCGGACTGTGGCCATAGTCACACCAGTAAACCAGCCTGGAGAATACAATGACAACTCTTGTAATAATCTCCCTCATAGTCACACCAGTAAACCAGCCTGGGGAATACAATGACAACTCTTGTAGTAATCTCCCTCATAGTCACACCAGTAAACTAGCCTGGGGAATACAGTGACAACTCTTGTAGTAATCTCCGTCATAGTCACACCAGTAAACTAGCCTGGGGAATACAGTGACAACTCTTGTAATAATCTCCCTCATAGTCACACCAGTAAACCAGCCTGGGGAATACAATGACAACTCTTGTAATAATCTCCCTCATGGTCACACCAGTAAACCAGCCTGGGGAATACAGTGACAACTCTTGTAGTAATCTCCCTCATAGTCACACCAGTAAACCAGCCTGGGGAATACAGTGACAACTCTTGTAATAATCTCCCTCATAGTCACACCAGTAAACCAGCCTGGGGAATACAATGACAACTCTTGTAATAATCTCCCTCATAGTCACACCAGTAAACCAGCCTGGGGAATACAGTGACAACTCTTGTAGTAATCTCCCTCATGGTCACACCAGTAAACCAGCCTGGAGAATACAATGACAACTCTTGTAATAATCTCCCTCATGGTCACACCAGTAAACCAGCCTGGGGAATACAATGACAACTCTTGTAATAATCTCCCTCATGGTCACACCAGTAAACCAGCCTGGGGAATACAATGACAACTCTTGTAATAATCTCCCTCATGGTCACACCAGTAAACCAGCCTAGGGGATACAATGACAACTCTTGTAGTAATCTCCCTCATAGTCACACCAGTAAACCAGCCTGGGGAATACAGTGACAACTCTTGTAGTAATCTCCGTCACTGTCACAGTACTAATCAATGTCTATATAGAAATGTCTTGTTTCTAAATGTCCTTGAAGAAATCAAGTCAACGTAATAAGGAATAACGTGACATTCAATATGTTCTTGATCCGCTATATGCGGTCGTTGACTTATATATCGCCTCTGTATTTCAATAGCACCTTACTTACTCATTTTCGCCCACTGATGTATAAATTTAGTAACAATGTACACATATTATTTACAAATATACATTGTTCTATTAATTGTTTGGACTGACTAGTTCTGATGACCATCAGCTTGTATTGTGTTGCCATGGCGACATAGAACAACCGATGAATATTCTGGGTACCTCGCCCCTATTCTCAGAAGTAACCACGTGTCCGAGACAGCATGTTCTTGACCGATGTCGTTAAGCGTTTACGTTAGTTTGTACTGACACAAAAATAACATTCTGTTTGTGAAATGAAACTCATTATCGAATTATGAATCATTGTAGATGCGTATATTCATGCAAACACATATTGATATCCATATAAGAGAGTGGTTTAACACCGCTTTTAACAGTATATAACCGGAAATTCTGCAGTTGTCAGACGTTCCACCCTGGTTGTTAAATCCAAAAGAACGGATGTGCTGCTGACTGACCTGGCATAATAACAGGACCGAACCTGGATTCGAGAAAAGGATGACACCAATGTCCAGCAAATATGCTTTTTGTTTTAAGCTCGTATATTTGTTTGAATCGATCGCATGGGGGATATATATTCTCTATCAATGCTGCTATTCACCTTGTATGTTAAGATGAAATGGGATATGTATATTACCCTAACAGTTACTCGTGAACACCGTTGTTAGTAGTCCTAAGAGAAAGATACATTGTAGAAGACACCAATAAGTCTTAAGACGTGTGAACCTACCCAGTAGACGAGTCCGCCACGATGGCCCTGGGTTCATCCAGATCTTCCTTGATGATGGGTAGATGAGCAAAGCCGTCAATAGTCATCAGTACAATGACGTCGTTACCAGTGTCAGTGTAGAAGATCAAGCGCGTCACCGGGTCGACGGCGATACCATTGGGGACAGCCACTGACAAGGAAAGGAAGGATAACATGTTTGTGTCGGCTGCACATACACGGTACGACCAGGATAAATTCCCGGTAGCCTATAGCTCGTGTACTGCGTGCTGGGAGAAGGCAAACTAAATGCAGCAAAATATCATCGGCAGTAAGCGCTTGTAATGTTATTAGGTACATTGAAGTCATACTGCCTATCCCTTGTATATGCTGGTTTCTCTAAAGGTAATATCTCAAGGCTGTTCTGTTAATGACCCTACAAAGCAACATATCCCATGTCATTACGTATGGACTTTTCCACCACGTTTCTCCTGAAAATAAGCACGACAACGAACACCTGGAAAGATTATGGACAGTTACCTGCATTAAGTTGCCAAACGACTTTTTCCGTTGTGCCAGAAAGTGTCACACTGCGAATCTGTTTGAGGCCAACATCTGTCCAAATGATTCGCCCATCTACATAATCATAATCAATTGCCACAGGGCTGTCTGCTGATGACACTGGGACATCGACGTAGCTATAGGTACGTCCATCCATTCGGTATATCTTCTTATCTACCGAATCTGTTACAAGCAGGAAGTTGTTGGGGCGCTGCGCTGAAAGTGGTAAAGGCATATAGGTTCTATTCGTGTGTCCTGTGGTTAGTTTATGTGTAATATTGGGGCGTTTGTGTAGCCTCGTCATGCCGTTTAATAGCGTTCTATTCTTTGAGTAGGCACATCGTGTGAAGCTCCTTTCTGGTGTTCTGGGTTATTGCCCCACACGACGTACAACGACACCCCTCTCTAAGAATACAACCCGTTTGAATGACAATTCTAAATGTGTGCAACTGTTGATATGTTTAGCTCCTACTTGATTGATAAAACATGATGCATGTTCACAAACTGGTGATCGGTTGTTCAACATGACTACGTCTGTAAAACACGTGGAACGTTTATATTTGGGGCGTTAAGAATCGGTCTAGCAAATTCAAGTATCGGTGTTTCAAATACTGTGTAGTCCATTTTGGAGGGAAATCAATTGCTTCGCGCGAAAAGAAAATCCCCGACATCGAGGATTGTCACATAACATGGCACAAGTTACTTTCAGTTCAATGGAACAATTCTTACACAATGGCAACTTTGAAAAACGGCGGCAACACATATTCCCTGTCGCAGTTTCACTCAGTATATATATATATTAAGAGGTTAACAGATCACAGTTTTCCTTTCGCCAGGCATATCAGCCCGAGACTACCATATCAACCCTCGGGGCGAAGTGATTTGACTGGAGAAAAGAAAACTGTCATGTAATAACCAGTTACTATACCACAAGCCGGAGGCAAAACCACACATCCCCGGGTGATACTGCTACATAGTGTAGTGTACATGGGCATATCAGTTCCAGTATGCTCAGGAGTACGTCAACTCCGAAATAACGTTTATGCAGCTCTGACAAACAGACATCACGAAACAGGATCAGAAACAGTGTCAGGAAACAGATGCTATCCAACCTGACGAGCAGGTCACTCCAGCGTCGTGGTCGTGACCACAACCATTCGTCCCCCATACACCACGTGGACACTGCGTGATGGTGACCTCTGACCCAACACATGCCACGCTGTCCAGCCATACTGGACCTGTGCCTTCGCCATATCCTGCCTGGCGCTGGACGAACCCTCCAGATCTGGCAACAATTACGTCATGATGACTACCGGCATCACATTCCAAACATTTCAGATTCACAAACGAAGGTGTGTGGTTTTTTTTAAGTCTTCAGATTTAATTTTGAATGAGCACATTAAATGATTGTAAATGCAATGCAGCAAAACAGTTGGTTTAGGCAACGTATCTCACGCATCATGAGAAGCTGATGTATAACTAATTCATAATTCAACGGACGCATGCATGTGTGCGATCGCGCGCATTTGTGTGCATACATATGCGTGTGTTGTTGGGTGTTGGGTTACCACAGAGGAACAACGAAACAAACTACGATGTTGTCGCTTGAAGAGGCCTATATATGTCACTGTAATGGAATTTAACAGGTAACAATACTTTTAGAGTGTAAAATGACTTCCTCCGAACGGCCATTGGCTCATAGTCCTCACAGCCCCTCGTGAACAATGACTCCACAATGACTCCACAAAACGATATTCGCTCTAGGTTGATCAAAAACTCTCATACTTTAAACTAGGTTTACGATCGTCTTACACGTTCCCGAGATGAGAGTGTCGACTATAGACTGTAGTACAGCTCAGTTTTCAACCTTTCCATTACTTTACAGTCACACAGCGTGGAAGACGAAGACAACACCTCTACCTGTTTGAGGGCAATTCGGCTGAATTGTAAAGGTCAGCTGTTCTGACTTGACCTACTTCACTGACTTAAGAGCACCTTCGTCACTGGTGTCAAAATCGAAAGAGTGAGTGAGTGAGTAAGTATAGTTTTACGCCGCTTTTAGCAATATTCCCGCAATATCACGGCGGGGTACACCACAGATGGGCTTCACACATTGTACCCATGTGGGGAATCGAACCCGCGTCTTCGGCGTGACGAGCGAACGCTTTAACCACAAATGCGAAAGAATATATAGTGGCAGGATACAATAAACGGATACTCAGGGGATGAGAAGCTTCAGTTCTATTCTGCTTCCATTCACGGGGTTTCAGAACATCAGAGGTTGCACCAGGGATTGTCCACTGAGTGTCAAAACTGTGTTTCCTCATCATTCAGGCCGTGAAAAACTAAAACGTGTAACAGCTGAGTTCGTTCACATTGTTCCCCTCCGCCAAATACATGACTGTGCAAACGCGCTCGTTAGATTCGATACCTATACCTTGGTTAGTCCATGAAATATATACACATATGCAGACAAAATGGGTTAGAACAGACATGTACTGACGAGAAATCGGAGTATCCCAGCATGGAACATATGACAGCAGCATCGTTGACGTCCCAGGTAGTGTCACAAACTGTCCCCCAGGATCCAAATGCAAACACTTCTACACGACCTTGATAGGCGGTAGGCCCACCAACAAGGCGTACAAATGTCTCGGCAGGGTTTGGCGTTGATGTAGGTGTACGATACATTCCAACAGTCGTTACCTGTGACGCTATACGATCAAACATATTGGTAAACAGAGAATTGTGTCAATAATTTACCGGTTAACGGTTATCGCTTACAAATATATCACAGAAATATCACTTTGAACTAACCACAGTAGTTGAGTGGCTGTAGACAGTATTGAATATACAGGAATATACTCCGTTAATATGCGTACCGGAAGTACCTGCTGCAGCACAGATGACACTGACATCCTGCGCGTGCTGACACGACGACGTGTTCCAGGTGTTGTGGGCGCACTCACTGACTGACCGCTCAGTCCCCAGGCAATGCAACCCGTCAAGAAGTACTGGTCCGCTACCACTCCCGAAATGGGCACGAGGCAAAAATAGGCACCTGCACTAACAGATGTTAAGAGGGACAGCCTACTGGTTCTGAATATTCAACAGTCTAGAACATGTACCAACAAAGCGTAAACGGCCAACACTATGTTTCATTTGTTAGGGAGTAAACAAGTTCCATGGTCATTATCAATACATGTGTAGTTAGTTAAATGTTAATGTTTACTGTCATGTATAGTCTGACTCACGTCGGGTTGTTGGTCATCCGGCAAATCACCTCAGCATTGAGGTTGGTAAAGTGATCATCGCATACAGTACCCCCACGTGTTGTTGAACTGAACCTCCACCCTGCCCTGTCCCGTCTGGTCGGCACCCACAAGACGAACGGAAACTGTCGCTGCCAGAAAAAGTTTAATTACGTGACTGCTTAACTTTTAAAACCGTTTGATTAAAGTTCTCTTGCAATCGTGAACTGCCTAAACCTGGCACACATTTAACCTCTGTTATTATTATCAACCACTAAGCAGCCAGTCAGCAGCACATCCGCCGCAGCAAGGCACCGATACCGTTGTTTGAAGCCTATCTATATAGCGGAGAGCCGCATCAAGGCACCGATACCGTTGTTTGAAGCCTATCTTTATAGCGGAGAGCCGCATCAAGGCACCGATACCGTTGTTTGAAGCCTATCTATATAGCGGAGAGCCGCAGCAAGGTACCGATACCGTTGTTTGAAGCCTATCTATATAGCGGAGAGCCGCAGCAAGGCACCGATACCGTTGTTTGAAGCCTCTATATAGCGGAGAGTCGCAGCAAGGCACCGATACCGTTGTTTGAAGCCTATCTATATAGCGGAGAGCCGCAGCAAGGCACCGATACCGTTGTTTGAAGCCTATCTATATAGCGGAGAGCCGCAGCAAGGCACCGATACCGTTGTTTGAAGCCTATCTATTTCGCGGAGAGCCGCAGCAAGGCACCGATACCGTTGTTTGAAGCCTCTCTATATAGCGGAGAGCCGCAGCAAGGCACCGATACCGTTGTTTGAAGCCTATCTATATAGCGGAGAGCCGCAGCAAGGCACCGATACCGTTGTTTGAAGTCTATCTATATAGCGGAGAGCCGCACATAACAGTAAAGCACCCTTGGAGAATTGAGTTAATTTTACCTGTCAAATGACACAACGCAACTCAAATATCTCAAATGTATATTTGCCATTTCAAAAATCAATTAACGAATGAAGACATCTGTTACGAATGTGTTATTTCTTATGCTAACAATTTGTTGAATAAAATATGGAATGACTAAATTAATAAGGTGTAAATATTGAACCGAGCAGGGCTGCACAGATGTAAAACCTACATTTTTACATGATAGAGATGCTGCTTTTACATGGAACACGTCTGCACTGAGAGCCATGTGTTCGTGTTTGTCTACTGAGTTGATTTTACAGAACTTTAACTGATGCACAACCGAAATATCGTTTTTTCATAGGTTTTCGGACGGCAGCGTATACTGGCGCTATAACGAGGGGTGTCGTCTATCATAAGCTGGTGAGATGTTTGTTGTGTAGTTGTTTCTGAGATTAGCAGGATAACAACGGATGTTTCCTAAATGTAAAAAAAACTACAACATTATACTTAAATGATAATCCGTGCAACAACGTACACTGTTGACATGTAATTCCAGCATCCAGCGCGTGTGTACATCGAATTTGATGACCAGTCTTGGCCGGGCACTGCAAGATGGTGGCCTCGAAACCAAGACAACCAACATCATCCAGCAAGATGTTCCCTGCCCCTCGCCCAAACCTCCCGTCCCGGACAGCCACGGCATTCTGTCTGTAACAGATACCGCTGTGTCAGTGGGTGGGCATCACTGGTTTCAGGAATATATTTGAAGGTAAAACACAAGGCAACCATTTTGGTTAATTAAACACACACTGTCATTTAACACTTTCAAAAAGTCGGGGATTATGAACTATAAATGTTAATACCAAGTTCTTGAACAAAGCCAAACATCCTCTGCAAGAACATATGTGTCATTAAAACTCGGTTCTCTTTCGCCTTGTACGTCGACATCGACGTTTATCTGCTTTGACGTTAAGAGAAAGATGGGATGTTCCTGTTAACTTGAGGCTTAGCAGGCAAACAGTCTACTGGAGAGGGGGTACAAAGCAAGAAGACCTGTCCGTCGACCACTTCAAACAGCTCTGTATAAGCAACGTCGACTTTAGTGGGCCCAGCGTTATGGTAACATAACGTTACAACATTGGCGTCATGTCATCTTTTCTGATGAATCTATATATTTTCTACACAGGGTATATGGAAGAATCCGAGTTCGACAATTACCTGGAGAAAGGTTTATAGAAGACTGTGTGGATGACTCTGTTTTGGATTGGGGTGGAATTCATTACAATGGAAAAACAGAACTTCGTGTTGTTGATGGAAACGTCAAACAAGCGACGTACAGAGACATTTTGGAAAACCATTTGATGCCACATGCATGACACGTATACGGCAACAACTTCCTGCTGCAAGATGACAATGCTGCTCCACATCGTGCCAGGACCATTGGTGCTGTTCTGGAAAGGGAGCGCATTAACAGCTTGCACTGGCCCGCGGAAAGTCCAGACATGAATCCGATTGAGCACATTTGGGACCATCTGGACAGACAAGTGCGACAGTTGGTAGTCTCTCCTAGACAGTTGGATGACTTAGGCACAGCCTTGATTCGAATCTGGAGCTCCACAGGACGATATATTGTCAACAACCTTGTTGATGGCATGATGCGACAGATTACCTCCCTTATTAAAGCACGTGGCGGAGCTACTCGCTATTGACTACCATTTGCCTGACAAATGAATGTTCTGAGACCTTTATCCTCAATATTCAAATCTGCAACGAATGTTGTATTGAATAAAGCTTATTCACAAGTCAGCCTCACGTGTAAAAGTTAGCAGTAGAGGGGAGCATGTCTTTGGGAGGTCTTTTATTAAACTCGTGGCCATACAAAGTTCTTTAGATAATTATTTAATGTTAGTTATATAATTGAGTTTTAATAAAGCTATAAATAAAATGAAAGGATTAACAAAAATGAAAAATGAAAAGCCGTTAAACACAAACACTCAGTAATCAAAGAGGGGATGACAACCATTATGAGTTGAGTTGAGTTGAGTTGGGCTTTACGTCACATCGGTAACCATTATAAGAATGAGTATATACACTGTACACAACAAAACATGTCAGCATTAACACTAGCTATACGAATTTAAATTATCACGCCTTGGTTGTCATATATTGTAAGGTCAAATGTTGCAGGTAGTTTTTACCTGCTGTATCCAAGCATAGCACACGTGACCCCCGCATCCCGTGCATCCCACAGATCGCTGCACACAGTGCCCCATGTGCCATTCATGTATACCTCCACCCGACCTTGAGACTCAACTGGTCCACCGTTTGCTAGGCGAACTTTGATGGTAGGTACTGGAACAATAAGACAAAAGACAACCATTACTGGTGGAATACATCGTTGAATGAAAGAAAATGTACCGCGATCGCGAGATGACGGTAATTGCATATGTTTGTCCTTGGCGCCAGTACTATTTGTTTGCTAATGATGTCTACTTGTAAACATTAGGTGAAACTGTATTCCTAATACAATTGCCACAATACATAAAAACCCCACCAAGAATGATCAATGAAATAGAAGACTATTCAGAAAACGAAAAAGGAAAACAAAAGACTCCTAAAAATTCGCCTTCTGCTTTCGTAAACTTTAGACAAGTGAGAAATACTGTAATTACTGTAGTAAGGAACTCTGAAACAAAGTATATAACTGATAGTGATGAGAAATATGTGTGTCTCGCGGAACCAAAACATGGTGGCGTGTAAATAAAAACTAAATCGCGTGTCACTTCACCGAATGTAACGTACAGTGTCATGGTGATCACACGGGCATTGCTAATATTTTGAATAATTACTTTTCTGATCAGGTTATTGTACCACAACCTAACATGAAAACAAATGATGTTATTCTAAAGTCAGGAAACCCCCTTGATGTTAATGATATTCTCTTGTCTGGGCTTATTACTGAAGCATCTGGTCCGCACGGTGTAAGTAATAGACGTCTAAAAATGACAGCAACCAAAATAGCAGAACCTCTTACAAAATCATTAAAACGTGATGTGTTTCCCAACATCTGTAAAAGAAGCATCTGATGAAGTTGGGCTCAACGGATTAATTCATAAACTTCAGCGTTGTGGCATTGACAGCAATTTAAAAAAAAAGTTATCTGTGCAATAAGACACGAAAAATGCAGTCTAAAGTATCAACTCATCAGAGAGATCTGTTCTATGTGGGGTACCCCTGGGGTCAGTCCTGATTCCCCCTATTATTTATAATATAAATTAATTATATAATGGAATTGACAGTAACATTCGCCTGTTTTAAGGGATACTTCTCTCAATGTAATTATTGATGACCCATCCCAGGCAGCTTTTACGTTAGGGATTAATTTCAATTTGGGCCCAAAAATGGTAGGTATTTTTCAGTATAATAAGACGGGGTCAATATTATTTACGCTAAATTTTCTACGTTGTTTTGTGTCCACAATTTTGATGAAGGACAATACTGTTATAAATGAAGAAGAAAACAATATACTCTTGGGGGTTATTCTTCAGAGTGATTGTTCCAGGGGCGATCATATTGCCGATATCGCCTCTGAGATCAGCCCATTGATCAAACTACATTCATAGATCAATTACATTCGCTTAAATCGTAAAAGGTAGAAACAATGTACAGACAATCCATTTAACCTGTATTTGATTATTGCTACTATATCTGGAATAATTGCACCAAAAAGCAACCCCAACTCCAAGAACAATTAAATCTCGATGCATAGAATACTATGTGGAGCAGTCGGTGGAACAAGCCATAATGAAATATATGAAGAAACCAACTTCAAACCAGTAGGTAAAGGACGATATAATTAAAATATATCTTGTTGTATAAAACAAGTAGCGACTAAGTGATCGTATGTCACCTACAGTGGCCGCGTCCAATCAGTATAACCTTAGAAACCAATCCAGTATCCAATCTGTACATTCCAGGACAAACCATTTTACTTGATAGTATCAAACTATGGATAGAACTTCCCAACAAATATATTAGTTCCGACTCGTTATCCTGCTTTAAATGAATGATTAAGATGTTTGCATATTTTTCGACTATGAGAAATTACGGAAGTCGTTTCTTATAATGAATTGTAATTTCAAAATAAACATGACATTTCATGAGCATAAATTATGATATTCATGAAATTTCATTACACTCCATTCACAGGCACATCCTTTCAAGTCTCTAAACTGTCATCAACCCGTACAGATTCAGATTAAAGGCCATGACACTTCCTGCAATAGAAAGAGACGAACCTGAACAGATAACACCCACATCCTCACTGTGCAGACAGTATGTGTGCCCCCATCCTCTAATAGAACATTCCTCCAAGAAACTCTCGTCTCCTATACAGTTTATATCATCGAGCCAGATAGGACCCAGGCCTGACCCAAAGTGCGCATTACCGTATGCCTGAGCCGACGTCCTGCAAAAGAAATTGTTATCACGATTATTGAAATTTCATTACATTTGTGCACCTTGATAATAGGCGATGGGGTACAAATGTGTAAAGCAAATTACTCGAGGCCCTCGTCGTGATATTGCTGGAACTATGCTAAAAGCAGTGAAGTGTCTAACTTTGCTGGCACCTCTTCGTGTTTTGAGTCATGGTGGTAGTGTCTAACATTGTTGATAGCCCCTACCGTCATATGCCATGTAGTGTCTAACATTGTTTGCACCTCTTCGTGTTCTGTGTCATGTAGTGTCTAACATTGTTGATAGCCTCTACCGTCATATGTCATGTAGTGTCTACCATTGTTGGCACCACTTCGTGTTCTGTGTCATGTAGTGTCTAACATTGTTGATAGACTCTACCGTCATATGCCATGTAGTGTCTAACATTGTTGGCACCTCTTCGTGTTCTGTGTCATGTAGTGTCTAACACTGTTGGCACCTCTTCGTGTTCTGTGTCATGTAGTGTCTAACATTGTGGGCACCTCTTCGTGTTCTGTGCCATGTAGTGTCTAACACTGTTGATATCCTCTACCGTCATATGCCATGTAGTGTCTAACATTGTTGGCACCTCTTCGTGTTCTGTGTCATGTAGTGTCTAACATTGTTGATAGCCTCTACCGTCATACGCCATGTAGTGTCTAACATTGTTCGCACCTCTTCGTGTTCTGTGTCATGTAGTGTCTTACATTGTTGACACTTTTTCGTGTTCTGTGTCATGTAGTGTCTAACATTGTTGACACCTCTTCGTGTTCTGTGTCATGTAGTGTCTAACATTGTTGATAGGCTCTACCGTCATACGAAATGTAGTGTCTAACAATGTTGGCACCTCTTCGTGTTCTGTGTCATGTAGTGTCTAACATTGTTGATAACCTCTACCGTCACATGCCATGTAGTGTCTAACATTGTTCGCACCTCTTCGTGTTCTGTGTCATGTAGTGTCTTACATTGTTGACACTTTTTCGTGTTTTGTGCCATATAGTGTCTAACATTGTTGGCACCTCTTCGTGTTCTGTGTCATGTAGTGTCGAACATTGTTGATAGCCTCTACCGTCACATGCCATGTAGTGTCTAACATTGTTGGCACCTCTTCGTTTTCTGTTTCGTGTAGTGTCTTACATTGTTGACACTTTTTCGTGTTCTGTGCCATATAGTGTCTAACATTGTTGGCACCTCTTCGTGTTCTGTGCCATGTAGTGTCTAACATTGTTGGCACCTCTTCGTGTTCTGTGTCATGTAGTGTCTAACATTGTTGGCACCTCTTCGTGTTCAGTGTCATGTAGTGTCTAACATTGTTGATAGCCTCTACCGTCATATGTCATGTAGTGTCTAACATTGTTGGCACCTCTTCGTGTTCTGTGTCATGTAGTGTCTAACATTGTTGATAGCCTCTACCGTCATTTGACATGTAGTGTCTAACATTGTTGGCACCTCTTCGTGTTCTGTGTCATGTAGTGTCTAACATTGTTGACAGCCTTTACCGTCATATGCCATGTAGTGTCTAACATTGTTGGCACCTCTTCGTGTTCTGTGCCATGTAGTGTCTAACATTGTTGGCACCTCTTCGTGTTCTGTGTCATGTAGTGTCTAACATTGTTGGCACCTCTTCGTGTTCTGTGTCATGTAGTGTCTAACATTGTGGGCACCTCTTCGTCTTCTGTGTCATGTAGTGTCTAACATTGTTGGCACCTCTTCGTGTTCGGTGTCATGTAGTGTCTAACATTGTTGGCCTCTCATCGTGTTCTGTGTCATGTAGTGTCTAAAATTGTTGGCACCTCTTCGTGTTCTGTGTCATGTAGTGTCTAACATTGTTAGCACCCCTTCGTTTTCTGTGTCATGTAGTGTCTAACATTGTTGGCCCCTCTTCGTGTTCTGTGTCATGTAGTGTCTAACATTGTTGGCACCTCTTCGTGTTCTGTGTCATGTAGTGTCTAACATTGTTAGCACCTCTTCGTTTTCTGTGTCATGTAGTGTCAAACATTGTTGATAGCCTCTACCGTCATATGCCATGTAGTGTCTAACATTGTTGATATCTCTTCGTGTTCTGTGTCACGTAATGTCTAACATTGTTTACAGCCTCTACCGTCATATGCCATGTAGTGTCTAACATTGTTGGCACCTCTTCGTGTTCTGTGTCATATAGTGTCTAACATTGTTGATAGCCTCTACCGTCATATGCCATGTAGTGTCTAACATTGTTGGTACCTCTTCGTGTTCTGTGTCATGTAGTGTCTTACATTGTTGACACTTTTTCGTGTTCTGTGCCATATAGTGTCTAACATTGTTGGCACCTCTTCGTGTTCTGTGTAATGTAGTGTCTAACATTGTTGATAGCCTCTACCGTCACATGCCATGTAGTGTCTAACATTGTTCGCACCTCTTCGTGTTCTGTGTCATGTAGTGTCTTACATTGTTGACACTTTTTCGTGTTCTGTGCCATGTAGTGTCTAACATTGTTGACACCTCTTCGTGTTCTGTGTCATGTAGTGTCTAACATTGTTGATAGGCTCTACCGTCATACGAAATGTAGTGTCTAACAATGTTGGCACCTCTTCGTGTTCTGTGTCATGTAGTGTCTAACATTGTTGATAACCTCTACCGTCACATGCCATGTAGTGTCTAACATTGTGGGCACCTCTTCGTGTTCTGTGTCATGTAGTGTCTTACATTGTCGACACTTTTTCGTGTTTTGTGCCATATAGTGTCTAACATTGTTGGCACCTCTTCGTGTTCTGTGTCATGTAGTGTCTAACATTGTTGATAGCCTCTACCGTCACATGCCATGTAGTGTCTAACATTGTTGGCACCTCTTCGTTTTCTGTGTCGTGTAGTGTCTTACATTGTTGACACTTTTTCGTGTTCTGTGCCATATAGTGTCTAACATTGTTGGCACCTCTTCGTGTTCTGTGCCATGTAGTGTCTAACATTGTTGGCACCTCATCGTGTTCTGTGTCATGCAGTGTCTAACATTGTTGGCACCTCTTCGTGTTCTGCGTCATGTAGTGTCTAACATTGTTGATAGCCTCTACCGTCATATGTCATGTAGTGTCTAACATTGTTGGCACCTCTTCGTGTTCTGTGTCATGTAGTGTCTAACATTGTTGATAGCCTCTACCGTCATTTGCCATGTAGTGTCTAACATTGTTGGCACCTCTTCGTGTTCTGTGTCATGTAGTGTCTAACATTGTTGACAGCCTCTACCGTCATATGCCATGTAGTGTCTAACATTGTTGGCACCTCTTCGTGTTCGGTGTCATGTAGTGTCTAACATTGTTGGCCTCTCATCGTGTTCTGTGTCATGTAGTGTCTAAAATTGTTGGCACCTCTTCGTGTTCTGTGTCATGTAGTGTCTAACATTGTTAGCTGCCCTTCGTTTTCTGTGTCATGTAGTGTCTAACATTGTTGGCCCCTCTTCGTGTTCTGTGGCATGTAGTGTCTAACATTGTTGATAACCTCTACCGTCACATGCCATGTAGTGTCTAACATTGTGGGCACCTCTTCGTGTTCTGTGTCATGTAGTGTCTTACATTGTTGACACTTTTTCGTGTTTTGTGCCATATAGTGTCTAACATTGTTGGCACCTCTTCGTGTTCTGTGTCATGTAGTGTCTAACATTGTTCATAGCCTCTACCGTCACATGCCATGTAGTGTCTAACATTGTTGGCACCTCTTCGTTTTCTGTGTCGTGTAGTGTCTTACATTGTTGACACTTTTTCGTGTTCTGTGCCATATAGTGTCTAACATTGTTGGCACCTCTTCGTGTTCTGTGTCATGTAGTGTCTAACATTGTTGGCACCTCTTCGTGTTCTGTGTCATGTAGTGTCTAACATTGTTGGCACCTCTTCGTGTTCAGTGTCATGTAGTGTCTAACATTGTTGATAGCCTCTACCGTCATATGTCATGTAGTGTCTAACATTGTTGGCACCTCTTCGTGTTCTGTGGCATGTAGTGTCTAACATTGTTGATAGCCTCTACCGTCATTTGCCATGTAGTGTCTAACATTGTTGGCACCTCTTCGTGTTCTGTGTCATGTAGTGTCTAACATTGTTGACAGCCTCTACCGTCATATGCCATGTAGTGTCTAACATTGTTGGCACCTCGTCGTGTTCTGTGCCATGTAGTGTCTAACATTGTTGGCACCTCTTCGTGTTCTGTGTCATGTAGTGTCTAACATTGTGGGCACCTCTTCGTCTTCTGTGCCATGTAGTGTCTAACGTTGTTGGCACCTCTTCGTGTTCGGTGTCCTGTAGTGTCTAACATTGTTGGCCTCTCATCGTTTTCTGTGTCATGTAGTGTCTAACATTGTTGATAACCTCTACCGTCATATGCCATGTAGTGTCTAACATTGTTGGCACCTCTTCGTGTTCTGTGTCATGTAGTGGCTAACATTGTTGACACTTCTTCGTGTTCTGTGTCATGTAGTGTCTAACATTGTTGATAGCCTCTACCGTCATATGTCATGTAGTGTCTAACATTGTTCGCACTTCTTCGTGTTCTGTGTCATGTAGTGGCTAACATTGTTGACACTTCTTCGTGTTCTGTGTCATGTAGTGTCTAACATTGTTGATAGCCTCTACCGTTATATGCCATGTAGTGTCTAACATTGTTGACACATCTTCGTGTTAGGTGTCATGTAGTGTCTAACATTGTTGATAGCCTCTACCGTCATATGTCATGTAGTGTCTAACATTGTTGACACCTCTTCGTGTTCTGTGTCATGTAGTGGCTAACATTGTTGACACCTCTTCGTGTTCTGTGTCATTTAGTGTCTAACATTGTTGATAGCCTCCACCGTCATATGCCATGTAGTGTCTAACATTGTTGGCACCTCTTCGTGTTCTGTGTCATGTAGTGTCTAACATTGTTGATAGCCCCTACCGTCATATGCGATGTAGTGTCTAACATTGTTGGCACCTCTTCGTGTTCTGTGTCATGTAGTGTCTAACATTGTTGGCACCTCTTCGTGTTCTGTGG